CTGGAGATGCATCAGATGTTCCTCGGCTGTTGCCAGGGCTGCAGGGTGAAGAGTTCAAAAGTGCAGAAGGGGACAGATAAGCAGGAACCCCAGGTAAGGGGCAGCTTCTGGTGGGACAGGACAGCAAGGCCACTGCCAGAGTAAAATCAGGAAACTTCCCAGAGCCCTGAGCAGAGCCCCAGGGGAGAGGTCCTTGAGGGTGGCCCCTCAGTTCTGCCCACCAGCTGGGCTGGTTTGTGTAAGCATAAGAAGGACTCTAAGACACTGACTCTCTGGATTTTCCTATGACATGGCCTGACCTCCCTGCTTTGGACAAGTAGAGCTAACTCAAAGTTCCCAGTGTATTAACTCCAGCCCTGTACATTAAGTAGCTCAGGCTACTCCTCCAGTGCTCTCAGACTAGAAAATTGGGGCCCAAAGAGAAAAAGGGGACTCAGCCAAGACTCCTAGTGTTTGTCAGAAACAAAGAAAGAGCTCAGTTTTTCTATCTCTCTGTTCGGTGTTTTCTTTACCACACAGCACTCTTTCCCAGTGAAGAAAGAAATCTAGCTTGATTACCTACTTAGCTTATCTTTTGCAAATCTGTATTGCCATGAAAACTAAACTAAGGCAGGTTCTAGAGTCAGATAGAGCCAGGTTCAATTCCAGCTCCACCACTCACCAAGAGCAACAGAGTAAATAGGCCCTGGGCAAATCATTTGACTTCTGTAGGTCAGGGTTCCTTCTCTGAAAACAGCACCTATATCAAAAGGTCACATGGAGATTAACTGACGTAATGTATGCAGAGTTCAGCATGATACCCAGCAGATAATAAACACTCAACAAAGGTTAGCTATTTTTGTTACCATTGTTCATAGTATTTTAATGAATATGAAAAGCAAATAATAATTAGCATTTCAGTTAGTGTTACAGGAATAGTCCATTTCCCTGTATTTGGATGTACATGGATGAATTGAGAACTTTTTTTTTTTTTTCACTAAGCCATTTAAATTTCCACTTTGAAATTTTGGTTTTGCAAGCTCAAAAAACTAAATTTCCACCAACTTTTTCATCCTAAAACATTCCATCCATCCTAAAGCATTATTGAACTACTGTATAGGCTCACCATAAGTGCTCACTAAATGTTTTCAGATGGATGGATGAGTGGATGATGGATGGATGGTTGAATGGATGGATGGATGGATGGATGGATGATGGATGGATGGATGGATGGATGATGGATGGATGGATGGATGGATGATGGATGGATGGATAATGGATGGATGGTTGAATGGATGGATGGATGGATGGATGGATGGATGATGGATGGATGGATGGATGGATGGATGGATGGATGATGGATGGATGGATGATGGATGGATGGATGATGGATGATGCTAAGACAGTGACTGAAGTGACCCCTTTGGCTCAGACTGGATAGTGGTTCAGTTTCCTAAAAAGCCATAACAGAGGCTGAGGGACTAGGATAACATAGTGAAGGGCCCAGAGGATTTGATGCAGACAGAGAGCAAGTGTAGTGGAAGTGAGGGGACGTGGAAGGAGAAACTACAGTCAGAGACTAAGGGGGTACAGTGTGAAATCCTAGGGTAGGAGCAGTTTCTGGTGACAAAACGTCCAGGGAGCAGTCATGGGGATGGGTGTCCAGGGTGGATAGGGAATCCAGAGGTCCTTAAACCCAACGAGTCCTAGGAATTCTAAGTCCACATTATGGGATAGGTGATCCACATGGCCTTTTATGTCATTCCAAGTTAGGATTAAAGTAACCTGAATTAAGGAGATTTTACCCTGTATTCCATCAAATTGCTCCATGGGAGGGAGGAGGATTTATTATTAAACTGAATTACATATGAAATAGTATCATGCACTGAACAAAAGAACTTATTTGTAATTCTGGCTTTATATTCACCTCATCGAATGAGGGGTGGTGTTGCTTAAAGCTTGTGTGTGTGTGTGAGTGGGGAGGGGGGAGAGACACAGAGAGACAGAGAACGTGCCTTACATTGTCTTGTTGTCTGACCTTTTCAGTATTTTAGCTCCAGGCCAGTTATGGAGCAACACTGAGAGTCTTGTAGGACTTATATATAGCAAAATGTCACAGCCACCAAAAACATTCCATTCCCCTCATCCCAATCCAAATACTTGAAATTCATACCCTGAACAAAAATTCCCAGTAAACGTTGGCCTGGCACCATGGCATTATATTTGTGCCTGGGAGGTTTCATTTGTCCTTTCTATTCCTAGTACAAGGGAAAGAGCTGGACAGTGGATCAAGAGACACAGTGGGCCTCTATCCCCTCCAGTTCTATGAGTGTGAATAAGAATTGTGCCAGAATGGCACTTGTGTTGGGCACTTCCCAGTCTACAGATCACCCCAGACTTTGGCTCATGACAGCGTATTACATACTTGGAGTTTGCTGGAAGTAGCTCTTCAGTTTTCTCACCACACACAGAAAAGGGCAACTCTGTGAGGTGATGGGCACGTTACTGAGCTTGGTTGTGGGAATCATTTCCTAATGTTCACATGTATCAAATCGACACACTGTGCACCTTAAATATATGCATTTTTTTGTCCATTATACCTTAATAAAGCTGGAGGGAAAAAAAGCACCCTCAGTTTATAACCCTCTCAACAGGCCACAGAAGTTAGCCAGGCCAGTATTATTGTGCCCATTGACACTTGAGAAACTGAGATGGAATCATGGAATCAAGTAATGAAGTAGCATGTGCAGATCACTGGGCTGTGTGTGGGAAGCCAGGTCAGGCCCACAGGCCTTCCGACCCACACCCAGCACTCTCAGGCCTGGACTGTGGCAATCCCCTGCCTCTGCATTTCTGCCCCATAACATGAACCCATCTCCGAAGACTCCCACTAGCAGCTCTGACCAGCTAAGGCTCTGGAAAGACCAGAGCAGGAAGAAATATTTGCCCACCAATTAGCATTTCTGCTAGACGGGATAAGCCATGCACAAAATTATGAGGTTGGAAAAATGTTTTCTGGGCCATTTCAGTGTTCCTCATTCCCTCAGAGCCAGCAGAAAGATGCCGCTGAAAACCCTGACTTCAGCATAATACAAGGTATCCATGTAACAAAATACAATGTAACAAAAACATTTATACCCCCTTAATATTTTGAATTTATTAAATTAAATTAAATTAAAGAAAGATGCCTCAATTAAGGAGTGCAAAAACACAGTTAAATAGAAGGAATGAGATCTAATGTTCAGTTGCACAATAGTCAACTTTAGTTAACCATTATTTATTGTTGTATATTTCGAAATAGCTAGAAGGGGAGATTTGGAATGATCTCAGCACAAAGAAGTGATACATGTTTGAGGTGACGGATAGCTCAGGTACTCAGATTTGATCATTACATGTTGCTTGCTTGTCTCAAAATAGTACATGTACCCCATAAATGTGTGTAACCTTTGTATCGTGAAAATTAAAAATAAATAAAATAAAGAAGTTAAAAGAAACACCAAGAGCATGGAAAGCTGGTCAAGTGGGTACCCCAGCCACCTTCTCTAACAAGGTAATACATTTTTTTACAGCTGTAGTTCATACCAGCTTGGAATGGCAGGCCACCTCTCCCTGTCATGTGCCTGGACACTCCTTACAGATCATTCAGGACATTTTTTTCTTAATGAACATGGCCTCAGATACTGTTAGTTATGAATTGAGCCATGAGATGAAAACTATTTTTTGTCCATATTAAGTAATTTTTAATAATTCATACCACTCTTGCTTCCAAAAAGACTAAGAGACATCAACAAAACTATCAAACAGCAGGATCAAAGAGCAAGAGTAGAATAAGAGGGGAATCTGTGTCCAGAAGTCCTAGGCTGATGGGATCTATTGCAAATGAGCAGAAATTTCACTCTCAGCTTCCTTTAATGCAAACGTTAAAAGGAAAAATAAGTTCTAAAATTCTAACAAACCTAGTCACGTTTTAGGGAGATCATGAAATCTAGGAGGCAATGCTAGCATAGATTTTTTTTTTTTTGAGACAAAGTCTCCCTCTGTCACCCAGGCTAGAGTGCCATAGCCTCAGTCTAGCTCACAGCAACCTCAAACTCCTGGGTGATCCTCCTGCCTCAGCCTCCCTAGTAGCTAAGACTACAGGTGCTGCCACAACACCCTGCCACAAGACTCCATTTTTATTTTTAGTAAAGATGGGGTCTCACTCTTGCTTAGGCTGGGCTAACATAAATTTTAAATGAGGCAGAGCAAGCAGTTTCACAGGCATTGTCCCCCCCCCCAAGCTAGTGTTTCTTCAATGACTCTAGACTGTCAGAATCAGAATCATCTGAGGTGCTTGTTAAAAATGTGGGTTCCTGACCCCTGCCCCACACTCACTGAGTGGGACTCCTTATAAGATGGGCCTGGTGACCTGTTTTTCAAACAAGCTTTTTAACTGATTCTTCTGTACCTGTAAGTTGGAGAATACATTCTCCAAGATATTAGTAGATGACAGTGGCTTAATGTAGTGGCTTTCCCAACCTTCCTTTTGTTTTACCAGGGAATAATGCTTGAACCCAGAGGGGTCTCTAGTAGAGAAACTCCAGGCCCCAGGCTCCAGCAGAGGAGATATTTTAGAGGCTGCAGAGGCTCCCCAGATACTTATGGTGGGGAAGCTGGGTTCTCTGCATGTCCCTGGAATGAGCTTTCTTTGGGAATCTCAGGCAGCCACAGACTATGGAGAAGGCAGGTCCACCTCAGTCCTCCTGGCACTTCTTGGGTTTCCCATGGCAGTTCATGGGAGCCACCAGGTCATATTAGCTATAGTATGTTGGTTTGGCTGACCACAGTGCCCTACTCTCTCCCTTCCCATCCTTGTCTATGATGGGTCAGGCAATTCAGGAGCCAGGCAGGTGGCAAAATTTCAAATGAAAGAACAGGTCACACATCCCTGGCCTGCACCTCCAGCTCCCCAGTGCAGACTGAGATCTGCCAGGAATATGCCTCAAGAGGGGTGGTGCATTCTTTCCTCTCCCTCCACATAGGTTTGGGATAAACTGCCTCGTCCAGTTTGAAGACTTTGCCAATGCCAACGCCTTCCGCCTGCTCAACAAATACCGCAACAAATACTGCATGTTCAATGATGACATCCAAGGTAGGTCCCGCCCACCTGACCTTTCCTGGAAGCTCACCAGGACGCCCAAGGGGAGGGGAAGGACTGTCAACCACATAGCTGTCTTGCTGCCAGCAGCTATTGAAGAAAGAACATTAAACTTGGATTCAACTCCTACTTGGCTAATCGCTTACCTCTGTAACCTTGAACAAGTCCCTTAACTTTGTTAAGCTTCAGTTTTCTTGACTACAAAATGGAGATCTTTGCTACTTCAGAGGTAGGTAAGAATTATGTGATGTAATATAGGTAAGAAATTCTAAACAATGTTATAATTTACTAGGTAGTTGAACTTGGACAAATCACTTCTCTGACCACAGTTTTATCATCTGTTCAATGGAGATGATAATAACTGCCTTGAAAGAGTATTGTGAAAGTTTAAAAAGCTAATGTATAGAAGGTACTAGAACATAAAACTCATTGGACCAAAACATCAGTCACCATAAAAATGACTTTCCCCAGCCATAAGAACTGGCTTTGGATTTTCCAAACACAAGGTGTATCCCTGTTGGGGAGACAGAAGGATTCCTTCTCTGAACTTGGCTGGAATGTGTGCTGCTCTGAATGATAACCCTGAGAGACGTTGGCACCAGGGACACAGAGCACATCAAAAGCCACATGCAGCATCTTCTAGTTCAGGGTCCATGCGGTTACCTATTCTACGGCCCAGAAATGGGAAGGCACTTTCTCCTTGCTGTAGAGGTGCTAATTTATAAAGGTGGAGTAGGAAGACTGGCCTCGCAGGAATTATCTCAACTGATCCAGGAATTTACAGGGGAGCATTGTGAGCCCAAAAGAAACCATGATAGGTCCACATAGGTTATTATTTAATAAATGAAGTTTTCCAAGCAAAATCTTTTCAAACGAAAGATCTATGTCAGGTAGAAAGAAGTTGGTATGGGCAGGTATTTGTCCTTGGGGATAAATGACTGGCTAAGTTCTTGTCTTGCAGCTGTTTCCTCTGGAGACTGAGAGATCATAACTTTTCATCAAGTTAATTAGGAATAGACTTAAGAGTACTCAAACCCAGGTAATAATAGCTAAGGTTTATAGCTGAATACTTCTTGTACATCAGGTACTGTTCTGAGCACTTGCTTAATCCTATGAGATATTAGCATCAATGAGCTGATAGCAGAAACTGAGGCACAGACAGAGTCAATAACTTTCATACCAGAAAGTGTAGAGTTGAGATTTGAGCCCAGGCATTTGGACTCCTAATTCCAAGTTCATGACTGTTCACCATACCATTCTCGGGTCTTATACTCATATTGCAAACAAAGTGCCGTTTTTCTCTCCATTGTCCACATTATAGGGTAGAAGAAATGTGACAGATGTCTTTTTTGTATTATCATAAATTTTTAAAATGCAAGATATCTAGGAGCACACTATTAGGTTCAAAATATATGACTTCTGGTCTAGAGAGTGGGTTCCCAGAGAGAGGAGAGACCCAGAAGGGGAAAGCTGGGGCATGGTAGCGCCCCCTGCTCCCCGGGGGTCTCCACCTTGCCCTGATGCCTGGGCCTGGGGCAGGTATCAGTAGGGCTAGCCCAGTGTCACCACACCAGGCAGGACACAGGCAGGGCAGTGTAGTGCCATCCAGGAAGACTGGCTAGGGGAGGAAAGCATTCTCTCAGGGCTGCCAGTCCCCTGACTGTCAGCCCAGCAGGCAGGGGTGTGTGTCCGGTCTCGGAGGATGCACCTGCCACTACCCAGCTTCCCCAGTATGCCACTCACACAAGTCAGCAGCTGGACAGCCAGCCCCCTGAGCCTACCAGGCTCTTAGGCTAGCGGGTAGAAGTGGAAAACAAGTCCATGTGGCCGGCACACCTGGTGCACAGTCTCCAGATGTACAGACACAGAGACAGCCACATGTATGTATGTCCTCATAAACACACACAGGAACACAGCCAGGCCTAAGGTCCCCCAGCCCCCATCTGCCCACACTGCTGCCAAAATGTGCTGCTGAGACAAAAATGTGACTCACCATGCTCCTTCCCTCATGAGAAAATTCACACTCCTTCACTGAAAACGTGAGACTCTGAGATCTCTCTATTCTCTGACCCCGCCTTCACTTTTACTCCTATGACTGCTGTACTGGTTATTCCTCTCTGCCTGTGGAAGTCCCGCTTACCCTTTCCCATTGTCTCTGCTACAGCATCGCCTACTCACCCTTCAAGACTCAGCTGTGGGCTCTACCGCCCAGGGGAGGCCCACATCAGCCCCTGCTCCCTGGTCTGATTTGGGTGACTGTCCCATGTTCGCCTCTGCTACCACCCTGTACCCCATATTGTGCTGTGTGCCTCCTCATGAAATGGCAAGCTTCCAGAAGCAGGGATCACATCTTGTCTATTCTTGTTCCCCAGCTCCCAGCACAGTGCCCGGCACATTCTAGATGATGGATGATGTCTACACACACAAACCTGTTCACATGGTCAGATACACACTCACCCCACATGCAAATGCACCCCCGTGTGCTCAGACACTCAGATGGATACACTTACTCACGTGTGTACTGCATGTATGCACACGGAGCTTTTGGTTTTTAATTAAATCAATCATTTGTTTAGACTTATTGATTTTTATGTCCTGCCTCTAGAGTCCTTTGCTCCCAAGCCAGGTGGGATAGTTTTCTGGGTCCCAAAACAAACAGAAGAAGAATTTCCCATTCTTTTCTCGAACATCAAAGACTAAAGCCTCCAATCTGGAAGTCGGGAGGAAAGCTGGCAAGCAGTGCCAGAAGGGCAATAGTGCTTGATCAGTGCAGCCTGGCATTTAGGTGTGAGTAACAAGAGTAAAGAAGTGGGCCTGGACATGCACCACCCAGGTCCTTCTACAAGGAGAGGCTTGTCACCCCAACTGACAGAAGGGTCGTCTATGCATCATGAAGCCTCAGCTTTAGAGAACCATCTGACCCACGGTCCTGCCCTGCTGGGCTGTTCTTACCCAGAGGCGAGGGAATACAAAGGCCAAACTATTTCAGCCCAGTGCAGGACAACTCAAGCTCCCTGTGAGGCTGGCTAAGGCTTTGGGGCCCCTGTGGAAGCTCAGCTCCCCCTCACCCATCCTGCTTCCTTCCCTTCCATCCCACAGGGCACTTCCTAAAAACATCCCTGACACTCCATATGTCTCAGAATCTGCTTCCCAGGAGACACAAACTGTGCCAAATAATATTTAACATGTGCGCAGAACTTTAGGTTTGAAAAGTGCTTTTCATCCACACTATCTCACAAGTTCCTGGCAACGTCCTCACCTTTCATGGGGGGACAGACATAGCAGCCCCACATCACTGATGAGAAAACTGAAGTCCAAGGAGTTAAAGGTCACAAATTCTCCACTCTCCCGTGTGTGTGTGTGTGTGTGTGTGTGTGTGTAAGAGAGGGGGGGGGAGAGAGAGAGAAAAAGAGAGAGAGAAATGTGATGAAGAGGGTCTTCTCATTAAGGACTAAATTCCAGACCTCTGTGAGTGTGGTGTCACTGCTCCCCGTCACCTGGCTGCTCTCATCTTCTCCTCCTCCTTGTCCCCATCCCTTCCTTGAACTCCTGCACAAACCCAAGAATTAGGCGCAGCAGCAAGGGAAGGGACTCGCCCATGGTCTGACTTGGGGGGAGCAGGACTACGGGGCTGTGATGTGTGTTCTCATTGCTTCGTGGGCAATGAGAAGACTGGTGAGAGCTTCCTGGACTAAGAGGCTGACCTGGAAGATCCAGCCCATGCTAGAATTGTCCCCCTTTATCTCTAAATGCAAAGTAAGGAAAAATAAATATAAGACTACATAGCTGTGCTGAGAAACAGGAGGGGAGTGCCTCTAAGCACAGCACTGAGGAGGGTTGGGCGGAGAGAGAGAGGGTGGGAGGAGGGAGCAGAGTGGAACCACAGAAAAAGGAAACCATGACCAGCCACACCGCACGTGGGAGCTGGGATGGATCCGGCCCACCCAGCAGGGCCTGGGGACACATTCCCAGAACCTGCCTGGAACCCATGTGTGGCAGAAGCTGAAACCCAGCAATGCATGTGACCAGAGACTAGGGCTGTGCTATCTGCTCTGGACCCCAGCCCAGCCTCACCTCTGCAGTGGAACAAGGAAAGACAGAACTGAGGGCTGAGCTCTGTGAGGGCAGGGCCGTGCCTGGGGCTGAGCAGGAGCCAGGGAACATTATCTGATCTGTCTCCTGGTTGGTCCCATTGGGCCATACACCTCAGAACCACTGACCCCACAGAGCTGGCCACAGGACTGAGTCTCAGGAATCCCCCCCCCCTTGACGGGAAAAGAGCTCTCCAGGGCTTCTGACCTCCCACCCAACTCAGACTCACACAAGGCCTCGGCCCAGGCCTGGCTGGTCCCACGAGCAGAGCTTCCGACGCACTGACTCATCGCTGGCAGCCTCTGCAGGAATTTTGGAAAGGCCGAGGCTCAGGTGACTTTTGTTGTTTCAGCTGGATCCAGAGTAGCATCTTTGCTCTTACAGAAGGACAGAGAGGCCTGAAAGGGGAAAGGAAGTGCCAAGCTGAGGGACAGGCCAGTTTTGCATTTGGGAAGGAAAGAGAGCCGCCCACAAGGAGCCAGGTCCAGGATGCTGCCAGCCTGGTGACAGCTCCTGACCTCCACATGCAAGCCAACAACACAGTGTGGCTGGACATGGAAAGGCCCATTGGCTCCCCCACTCCAAGGCATCCACCACCCCACCAGCCTTCCCTGGCCCTGCCTCATCTCCAGGCCACGTGACCTGTGAGGCTGCCTGTGCACTTTGTCAACACTTGTAAGTTTTAATTGTAAGCCAGAGTTCCTAACCAACATTGGACTGAGACAAGTCTAGGTCTGAACCCCCACTTTTCCTGCTTTGTGGCTTTGGCCAAAAGGCTTAAATTTCAAAGCCTTCTTCTCCTCGTCTGTAAAATGGACATAGAGGTTTAACAGCCTGCCTATCAACCAGTGTCACCAGAAAGGTCAGGCTATTTTTATAAGCCAGCATGTATTCTGGCTGAT